TTAAAACGATAGAAAGAACAAGTAAATAAATTGAAATACGTCCCAAAATATTTAATAAATCAGTGCAAAAACCGAGTATTAAATAAATTGAAATAATTGAGTAAATAAACTGAAATACATCCCAAACAACAGTACCAAGAACGAATAATTTAAGTGAAATACGCCGCAATTAATGCACTACATTCACTGAGAGACGCGCTTGGCGTTCCATAGAAATGACCGGCGGCTCAACTTGTCGGCGGCTCAACCGGTCATAATCCCTATCTCCCAGGCTAGGCCTGCAGTAGTAGGTATAGTCCTAACCTCTAGTATTAAGTTTGTATTGATTGTAGAAATACTGAAAACCATACAAAAACTTGTGTTTTATGCCCCCTCTACCCTCATAACATATTGATATTAGTATTATTACAATTGTATTTGATTTATGTTTTATTTTACTCAGAAAATCTTAATATCTTATTATCTTTGCTGGGTTTTCCATAAATAGGGTGAAACATTTTTTATACAGTCAGAACCTTGTTTTGCTAACTTTAACTATTTTTTTTAAAGATCGTCAGAGGAGGGCAGAAAAAATGTAATGTTTTCTTATTTAGCAAGTAGGTTTGCCAAAAACATCCAGACAGAGGAGTTAAAAACCTTAAATTTTTTTCTAAAATTTCCATTTTTTTTGTGGCCGGTGGTGGGTTCACTAATTCAGTACCCCGCTAATTGGCCAAAAATACATTTTATTAAAAAAATCATCATTATTGGCGGGTGGCAGGTTCGCTAAACGGGGTATAAAAAAAGTCTTGCCTTAGTAAAACATGGTGGTACCCCAATACCCAAATAAAAATAAACATAAACAAAATTACTGTACTTCAACAGTTGTTAAGCCAAAAATAAGGGTATTATCTTACTACCCTTGAATTGAAGCTAAATGAAGATTCTGGATAATTTTTAACAATGTTTCAATATGGCTTACATCGTTCTAATTTGAAGGTTAAGCATAAACATTCTGTTAATAATAATTAAAATAGAAAAATTCATATAAATAAATAAAATACCTGACAGTGACATAATTAACTATCTTAAGGTATTATTGACACACAAAATAAAAAAATTTATTATTGAAATAAAAAAATATTATCCAAAAAAAGATAAATAATCAGTTAGACCATATGAATTGATTTACCGTACTGTAGATTTGATCTTTTTGACATTCAATAATGGCTTTAAAAAAAGAGTAGAATTTTCTTTGTTTTTACAAATATTTTGTTTGGTCAACCTTGTATTTTAACAATACTATTTTTGGGAAGATTTGATTTTTGGGTACATTCAGTCACAGACCATATGTGATTCAATCATATAGCTATGATAACTACAATTTTTTTAGCCTACTATAAATTTTGGGTGAGTTATTAACGCTTAAAAATTGGCCTGGTCATCAACCCCAATAATTTTATATTGCAGTTCATTTTCATGTTAATTGTATAATTATTCAATGAAATTTGAAGCATGTCCTCCCAAAAAAAAACTTGTGCCCTCAGTCACCCTCCCCCATTAAAAATGTACAAAGCAGAAAATCTCCATTACTTAAAGATCACCTCGTATCACCTTAATTTGTGGCCCAACTTCCTCTCACTTAATCATCAAGCTCCATCCCCTTTCCCACCCCCTGCCCCATTTCAAGACTAGATACTCTACTGGTGTACTGTAGTCGCACCAACAAAATTCTGAAAAAAAATTAAAAAGACTATAAATTAAAATAATTAATTTATAACTTTAAATTTTAATTATACAGTATATAGTAAATGTAAACACTATTGTTAAAAAAAAATCAGTTGTTTATAGGGTCTACCTTGGGAGTAAAGTCGAGACTTTCTCATATCAATGCTGCCACCGCTCTCCCCTCCACATGTTTTCTGAATAAGGCTGTGGTGGACGACGATAGTTGCTGGTACCGGGTTACAGGGTACAGTAGCACAGACACGAAGGGGCCCTTAGGGGCGAAGAAAGTCATGGATCGAGTTCCTAGTCCACATATCAAGCGGCCTGAGCGTCTTGCATTAGATGGATATGTGCGCTATATAAAACTACACTATTATCATTATTATTATATTAGTTACAAAGTACCCGTTCAAAGTCAAAGAAATCAGTCGGATAGCTGTTTCTGAATAAATCATTATTTACATGAACAAGCTTAAGATAATTAACTTTTCTATTGTTTATTTTTATATTTGATATTAGGACTGAAAAAAATGCAACAGCCTGGTCTAAGGAGAAGTTATTAAATTTGCTCATGTATCTGAAAGTTGAGGATGAAAAAGGTAAGGAATTAAAAATGACATAAATAAATATATGTTAGAAGATTTGATGTAGGATTTTTTAATGGGTATGACAGCTTTTGAAAATTTTACTTTAAATATGTAAATATGTCTAGTTAAGATTTTTCATGATTTTCAAGAGAGTACAAAACACTTCTCTGAACCCCCCTCTCCAAAAGAGTGCATTCTCGCTATCTCATACTGCTTACAGAAAGTAAAAGTGAGCAACAGTAGAATTTAACTAGTGACTATAGGCTGACATCCCCATATTTCAGCGCACACACATTCTACCTGTCACCAACCACCTGTTCCGTTTAGCCCACTGTCTATAATTTTATTCAGCTTTAGGCACAAGAGCAAACCAAACGTTAAACTTATTCACTCTTGAACCGAGGTCCCCAGGATTGGAAGCCAAGCATCGTAACTCCACTCCTATACTTAATGATAAGCTCATTGTGGGTATTTGATAGAGTTTTCAGGCATGTACAGTAAATCAAATTTATTATCTAGAATTCATCTTAATTTTGTATTTTGTACTAATATCATCTCCTTTTCAGGCACCTGTGAAATATGTGAATTGACATCTATAGAAGGTGAGGCAACAGCAAATAACAGGAAAGCTAAATTGATATTCTTTTATGAATGGGTGCTTAAACTTCAGTGGAAAGGTGAGCCATGTTTAGTGTCTGTGTTATGTTATTTTTATCTTCATTAAGGGCAAACCCCAAGCAGTATCAAATACTGCATTTCATTGTGGTTGGGGACTCGCTATGAAAGAATAAAGCATTAGGGAGTGGAGTTGCTTTTGTACTCTATTTAATGGTTGACAATGCTACTACAAAAACTGACACAGGTATGAACCAAACACTTCAAGTTTGTATACTATACTAAAGCCTACTCTAACTAAGTTGGCCTGTCTGTATGTTATTGAATTGTCAGGAGTGGTAGTAAATTTATGATCATAATATTGAATAAGCAAAAACTAAATTGTTTCATTGCAAGTTGTTGACTAAAGCCTACAGTGTTTTCAATGCAATCGTTGTACTGCGTAGCAATCCCAGCGCAATCGGGTAGGCTTCTCGATTTGAACGACCAATCAACATCATTGAAAGCTGTCGGCAATAGTGTGCAGCGATTCTATTGAAACCAAGATGTATTTCAACCCGTGAGTAAATATAGTCAATTTTGTGAATAAAAGCCGTTGTGGCTTACCACTGGAATTCAAACCCTCAGAAAATTTCAGTGTTTTAATTATATTTCGAGGGTTTTGCCCAGATTTAACCACAGGAAGTATCTATATTATTGCTATTGTGATAATATTATTATTATGTTTTTTTTCTAGGTACATTAAAAGATTGTGAAACAGAGTTGAAAGGTGAAGTTGAAATCCCAAATTTAAGTGATGAAAATGATGCTTCAGAAGTAGATGTGAGTATATATCATCTATTTAAACTTTTGTTTTAATATATTTTAAAGTATTTATATGTTATCAATATAATCTTTTATTATAATTTTTTTTGTTAAAGATGAAAAGGACAGTCATATTAATTAATAAAGTTAAGGTATTTTATGGCATCTGCTAAGGCTTAGTGGACTTTTTTTAAGGAGACTGTAAAAGAATTGTATGAGATAACCATAATATGCCAAAACAAATGTGGGTAAGGTTTAAAGATATACTGCCCTGGCTCTTAATGAATTTTTTTAAAGGGCCAAAGATAATATCTCAGTTGTGAAGCAACTTGTTAGAATGTTTTTTTTTGTAATTTCAAATTCTACTTTTTGTTGTTCCACACAACAATATTAGGGTACTGCAAACATTAACATTTTGTAACTTTAATTAAAGAACACATATCAACATTTTGTTCATACCATAGTTGTCACAGGATAAAGAAAATGTTAAAAAATAAGAAATTCCATTCATTGTATAACAAACATTAGTATGATATAAACATTTAAAAATTATTTAGTACGTATAATTTATATGTAACAGAGAATTTGAAATAAGTGTTGGCGTAATAATCGTAGAATAATCTTTTCAGTTATGGTCCTCTAAAAATGCTCCAAATTCTAATCGAGAACCGGACCCCCTTTCTTCAAATAACGTCACCGATTTTGCAAAATACTAAGGCGAGGCCATACAGCTTTTTGATACTAGGAGAACTATATGTAGCTCTCCTCTGATTTCTTTAAATGAAGGTCTGGGGTATTAAATGCAGCCAAATATGGGTGTATATAGAGCAACTAGGAAATAAGTGTGATATCCAAAGGCTAAAGGAGCAAGTATGTTAAAGAGATTTCCTGTTTTCTTTCCTCTATTTCTTAAGTATAGTAAACCCGGATGCAAACATTGTAAAATAACATTTCTACAATGTGTCTTTAGCTTCATCAGTATTGCAAATGCATCAAGAGTCAATCTGTCAATTGATTGGATAAGGCTTTTGTATCATTGGCACACCTTTATGTTGTAACCTTACCTTCACTAGACAAAAATTAATTTATATAGAGAGAACAAAAAAAAGCAAAATAAAATAAATAATATATTCTGCCTTATGCAATAAACATAAACTGTTGAAAAACACCAATGGGAAAAGTAGGAGGAAAAATACATAGTTGAAAAATACATTTGAAAATACTGGGGGGAAATAACTGAGAAAATAGGCCAGGAGAAAAAAATTCATGGGAAAATTATTTTTTTTTCTCTCAAAAAGGATTGTGTTTTTGTCTTCACTTATAATTGGGGAAACCTATTTACCAAATGATTTACTTTAATTTTATTATAATTGTTTTTTTATTTTTTCACGCAGACCAGATTAAATGTCTCCACGGGTCAAATTTGGCATGCGGGCTACCTATTAAGTACCAAGGAAAGCATAGAACAGCAGAACAAGGAAATTAAACAATAATAATAATTATCAGGTCACTAGCAACGGCACTGAAAGGATAAAACAATCCCACTAAATAATAACTAAATGGTATTCTATACTCCCCTTCCCCTCCTGCTTGACACTTCCTTTGTATTTCAAAGTCTGGGGTATCTGTAAGCCAGCCCAGATGTTAGGGAGATGCATTAAAATCTGCTGAAAAAAAATAATAAGTGACAGCTGGCCTGATTGCCATTTATGGGCATCTAGAGATGACATGACCTCTAGATTAACTGTAGTTCATTTGTCTGTAAATGATAGACCTCCTGTCAGGGAAATAATGATGCCAGCACTGCCAGGAATCACATTATGAAATATAGAATATACCAATCCAAGGAGGAAGTAATATGTATGGAATTAATTGATCAAATATAGTATCTGTGTTAACTCTGTCTCTTATACACATCTAGATGTGTATAAGAGACAGATATAATCTTTTATTATAATTTTTATGTTAAAGATGAAAAGGACAGTCATATTAATTAATAAAGTTAAGTCAAAGAATGTATATCTGTCTCTTATACACATCTAGATGTGTATAAGAGACAGGGTTGATACAGGCCATATGGGATGCAATTAAAATGACTTCCATGGTTATTAGAGTACCTAGTCAGTAGTCATTGAATAGTACCATTTTTTTTGTTATACTTCCCAAAACAAATTTTAAGTGTCTGAAACTGTTGAATTTTAAATAATTTTTCCGACAGACACCCCCAAAAAATCTGTCCAATCATAATGGCGTCAAGGATCAGATAGCCGGTGTTAAAAACCTAAAGGTTGGGGTTCGAATTCATACAACCAAGTTGACATGTACCGAGAAGTTTAACTGTGCAGTGGAGGATATATACCAAGTCCTTACAGACCCCAAGGTGAGTACACTGTACCGTCTGAGCCATTTTGCTTGATTCACATTTGACTACTAAGGCTGTAATTGTCAGTGATGTGGTGCCACTCTATGCGACTGGTTTTTGATATGCTTCTCAATTATGTCTACAGAAAGTGGAAGCTTTCACCAGAAGTTCTGCAGAAATGGAGGTTGAGAAAGGAGGGAAGTTTTCACTATTTGGAGGCAATGTCACTGGCTTCTTCGATGTGCTGGTATGTTAGATAAACTTTCCATGTAAATTAATTAATAATGCTTTATTTTTTTGGGGTGTTTTTTTTTTACATATAATTTGCAAGTATAAAGATTGATTGTTGTTAATATCTTACAGGAAATGGACAAAAAAATAGTCCAGAAATGGAGGTTTCGCAATTGGCCAGATGGTAAGCTAAATTAAATTATTGAACAAGCCTTGCACTGTTGTATTGGGTCATCAGAAATTTTGATAATGGCTATGTTCTCACACGGCAGCTAACGGTTAGCAGGATCCTAATCATGCTAAACATTAGCTGTCGTACGTCCATATGAGAAAATGCCGATCCAGATACCAAAAATATGATGATCGAATCACTGACCAATAAGAAACTGGAAATTGTAAACGCGTATGTGTGATTGGTTGATGATAGAAACGCGCTCAACTTGCTAACCGATAGCGCTTGCTAACCGTTAGCGGTATCCGGATACTGCTAGCGGTTAGCGCAAACGGTTAGCTCCCGATCCGGATACTAGGGCTCTCGTGAGAACCAGGCTTAAATTAAATTATTGAACAAGCCTTGCACTGTTGTATTGGGTCATCAGAAATTTTGATAATAAAATGTTAAATAAAAAGTCTACAATTTACATATAGCACTTAATGTCAATGAACTTAACAACATTTTCATATATTTATTATCCAAAGGGGTTGTGAAATACAGTATTATACAAATATTGACTGCTCAAGAGGAGAATGGTGAAATCTATTGCCCAGAGGTGATGTGGAGATCGTAGCCTATCTAGGCTATGATTTCACAATAGATTTCCCCGAATCTAGAATAGCCAATATTTGTTTTATATACCTCATACATAGATTCTACAAGGCCTAAAAAAGTACTTACTTCTTCCAAGCCTGGCCTAGAGGCCTATTAATTTGGGCCTAGGCGATCAAAGAATGTATATAGGTATTTTTTTTTGCTCATTTCCTTAATTTCAATCTATCGTCTTGCAATATTTGTCAACTATTGACAAGAGATATTTAAGTGGTCTTTTAGTGCTTTTGTTATCAGCTTCATCAAGAATAGGCCTTGGCTACTCCTCCTTCATCCAGAGGCTTGAAAGCCTCCATAATTATTGTTTATCGTCTACTTCCTGATCTGTGGTGCGGTCAAGGGCCAATCTCTTTCGTTGTAGAGGTCGCAGTCCCCTCTACCATCAGCGCAATGGTGGGGCCTAGAGTTTGCACCATGCGACAGATCAAAAAAGTAGTTTTTCAGGGGAATAGTACTTTTTTCATTGGAATAGTACTTTTTACTGCCTGCTTCTTAACCAATCAGAAAACATTCGCTTAAAATAGCAGTAAAGAAATATTACTTGTTGTCTTGCAGCACACTACTCGGTAGTAACTATGGAATTTTCCCAGGAACCAGATGGAGCCTCAATGAAGCTTGTTCAAACTGGAGTTCCTGATAATGAGGTTGAGCGAACAAAAGAAGGATGGAAGGAGAATTTTTGGGCAAGAATACGACAAACATTTGGCTTTGGTATACATCTATTCTGACCCAGGATAATCAAGATATTTATAAGCTAAAAATAATTGAAATTAGGAAGAGAAATTAATTTGTACAGAAGGATGTAGATGGAGAGAGTTCAATGTCAAATGGTATTTTAATCAGTAAATAATAAACAGTATTTTGTCATTAAAGGGTCTCCCCCTATTATTTTTGATAGTTACTACAGTATATTTTTTTTCAACCTGGAACATATGGGATACCATGCAAAATGATGTGATTCTCCTGCTATATTTTGGGACGTTTTGTGCAAACCTCAGGAGAAATGTTGTTTATAGATGCTCCGAGTGCTTGCTTGTTCGAAGCCACTCTAGTTTTGCAATCTGAGCCGATCCTTACAGGCTTCATGGATTTATGTTGATGGCGCTGTCTAAATCTGCAAAACTGGGTGACTTGTTTAGTGCAGCAGTTACTATGCTTCCACCTGTATTTCAAAATTAACAACTATTTAACTAATGCTCTTTGGAAAGCATTACTGTATCAACAGGTCTATTTATTTTACTTAATTCTTTCTTATTTTTACATTTCTTCACCGAACAGGATATGAACCCAGGAATTTTAACCAACAAACCGCAGCTGTACTTTGAAACCATATCACAAGAGGCATTAATTTCATTTTTTTTTTTGGTTATATCTGTTTGTATACACTTTGTGAGATTGGATTGAGATGTAGCGATATTACAACCATTAAAATTTGATCAATGTAATATCTTAATGAATTATGAATCTACATATGTTAGTGGCAATGTGTAATTGTGTGTATAAAATGCAAGAATAAATCTCAATTTTGTTTTTATCTTACACCTGTCATTTAGTGTAAACCCTCCCCCTTTAACCGGATCTGTAGTAGGCAAGCTGTAGAAGGAAAGCTGGCTCTCTTGTTGCGGTGCTCAGGAAAGAATAGTTTGAATATTTACAAAATGAGACTAAATTATGTCAATTCAATTCCCTAAATTTAAGGAGTTTTTTCCTGGGTGGACGGTGAACATTATCCCAGTCAAATCCTGGTTAACTTAAAATCGCTACACTGTCGCTACAATGTTTTCAGTGCAATTGTACTGAGTGGGGCTCCCCAAATCGACTAATCAGCATCACCGAAAGTGTAGCGATTACACTATATGGGCATCAAGCTTCATCCTCAGGGCCCTCTGTCGGGGGGCCCCCCTCTCTCTCTCTTTTCTCATCTGTGGAATCCTGACGCCACCTCTGCTTATACTTGGGTAGAGCCAGTAACGATTAGTCCTAATCCCAAATTTTGGACTAGCTTTGAAGTAAATGATGCTTCTATTGGATAAGCATGGCGTTTACAATTGTTGGTAGCAACAGGCAATTATTTTGGTACGTCTGTTGTAGATTTATAGTCTTAAGGCCTGTTTACACTACGACAATAACGATCAATGATAAAAAGCAATTGTTCATATAGAAAATAGATGAAAGAAGTTTTCACAGTAGCACGATTCGATAACGATTTATCATTTATACAATGAAAATATAATTTCACAAATCAAATCAAATGACTTCATAATCATAGAAAATTGTTTTCCCATGATTATAACATCATTTGATTTGATTTGTGAAAATACTGTTTTATCGTATACACGATAAATCGTTATTAAATCGTGCAGTGTGAAAACTTATCTTATTTCTTTTAATTTCTATATGAACAATTGCGTTTTAGCTTTTTATCGCTGATCCTTATCGTCATAGTGTAAACAGGCCTTAAAGCCCATCTGAACGTGCCTATTGTAACTCCGATTTAATATAAACTTATCTGCTCGGATTTCAAGTTTGTTTTTTATTCGTTTCAGATTTAATATCATTGCAGGGGTCCCAATTTGGAAGAAATCCCTTCCTGGAGGTGTTCATGGTTATACCCATGCACTGACTTCCATGAGTCAATTGATAATTATAGTTGTCATGCCTCAGTTTATTTAAGAATACAGTAAGTTGCTACTGTTCTTGGGGGAAAAAAAAACCTTTATTATTTTTATCAGTATCTATGATACACTGTCCATACATTTAAAAAAAAATCAATTTCCAGTGAGTGACAGATATAAAAGTAATTTGCCCATATATAGGCAAATCACAGTTGTTACAAAAAACCTAACCTGGAAATGTGGAGCACCAACCAATCTCCTACCTCCCATTTGACTGACAGTGGAATATAAAATCAACACTATTTTAACTTCATGGTAAAAAACAATCAATAAATATATTTCCATTACTTTCTGATTTATTATATATTTACTGTAAATGTCTCTGGTCATTTAGACGTTGACTCTAGTAATGTTCTTTTTGAAGGTGTTAAATTTGGGATTGGGTTTTTTTCAAGTTCTTTTAAGATCAAGCCACGCACATTTGGCTGTTTACTGGCATTTTTGGCATCTAAAGGTTCTTTCAGTTCATCCAAAACAAGACCGTGTTCCTTTGTGTGTTTGATGGTACTTTCAACTTGCTTCAGGTGTTCTGTGACTATTTCCAGGCGTAAATTTGGTATAATATCTTCCAACATTAGCGCAACTAACTTGACATCTTCCATATCCTTTAATCCATTCATATTTACTCTCTCCAAGTTTCTGAAAGTAATAATACATGTTTCTTCATTAGCATTAGTAACCCCACCTAAAAATTGAGGGAACAAAGCCCAATGTAAATTATATCTTCATTTGTTAATCTGTTTGCAGTAAATAGTACAACAGATGTTAATTATGGAGGTTAGAGATAATGAAGTCTTAGTTGCTTGTTTCGCAAAGTGTCACTGAATTTGATTAGCATTTCCATTGGATATTGCACTAATAATGAACGTTTGGTAAAAATCAAAAGTAACTGTGTACAGTATAATGCGCAAGTATCTATTAAAGATGTGCATAATATTCTTAGTTGTCTGTAAGAATGGAAATCAAGCATATTGAATATTCATGTTGAATTTCAGTCGGAAACATCACTAGAATTCATGTCATGAATTGAAAACCTAATTTGCAGTATTATAAGTGATGGCTTTATGATGTAGAAGCGGTTTGGTTTCCCAATCTTGAGGTCAGGGTTTCACTCCCTCGCTCTACATTTTTGCTTGTGTCCTTGAGCAAGGCACTTTATCAGCAAAGACAGCAAGTGGGTACCTGTAGGGTTAAATGCCAAATGCGCTGATTAGCTGCTGCAATGTTATGGAATAGAATACTACCACGGGGAATTGAGTTTGTGTTCCGTATGTGTTTAATCCAATGACCGGGGTAATGATATGTGAAGCACATCTTTTCATAAGGTGGTGCTATATAAGCCTACCATTGATAATAATAATTATTATTATTATGACAATAATACATTCTGGTATCTTGAAATAGGGGGCACTAAGTCGCGAAATAAGGTGGTTTTTTTTTTGCCTCGGACATGTTCAATGGGAGACGCACACCCCCTCCCTCCCCCACACCACTGTCTAGTATAAAACAAAGAAAATCTCTTCACCTAAGCTTGAGTAATAATCAAAGCCACCCTCCCCTGTCTAGTATAAAACAAAAACAATCTTTTCACCTAAGCTTGTGTAATAATCCAAAGCCATTTGCTGTTATCCGATGACATCTGCTTATGTCCAAGTGGGTTAGAGAATCTCGGAAGTTAACAAGCTGAGACATGCAGCTATCATCAACGAACGGACAGTCTGCAAAGCTCAAGAACTTCAATTTCTTCAGGGCAACTATAAAGTAAATGAGAAAAAAAGTAACAATTTAATTTAATTTACATTTGGAATTTGATTCAATTTAAGACCATGTTAATGTGATGAATGTGTATTCTATCAAGGAAATAAATATGTAACCGTTATTATGAACATATTTTATTCAATACAAACTAAAGATGGTGCTATTTCAAAAACAAAATGGATCAATTTATTTGGGGCAACTGTAAATGAAAAAAAAATTAACAATTTAATTTAATTTACATTTGTAATTTGATCCAATTTAAGACCATGTTAATGTGATGAATGTGTATTCCATCAAGGAAATAAAAATACAACCATTATTATGGACCTACTTTATTAACACAAACTAAAGATGGTGCTATTTCAAAAACAAAATAGATCAATTTCTTTAGGGCAACTATAAATAAAGTAAATGAGAAAAAATTAAAAAATTACTTTACATTTGAAATTTGATTCAATTTAAGACCATTTTAATGTGATGAATACGTATTCTATCAAGGAAATAAATATATAACCGTTATTATGAACCTATTTTATTCAACACAGACTAAAGAGGGCGCTATTTAAAAAAACAAAATGGAGAAAAAATAAATTGTGTATAACTTGTACGGTATCCAGTAAATTATACAGTATCATTTTTTCCAGAGGAATTAAATATACCGTAATTTCTTACCCAAGTGCTTTAAACCATTTTTTTCAATGCCGGTACTTTTAAAGTCGATTGCATCAATATAATCATTTTCAACTTCCGACCTACTTGGCAGTCTAGTGAACCATTTTTTTTCACGGCCAAACCACTGACCACCAGTATAATGGACGGCGCCGCCAATCATAACCACATAATCTCCCGCTGCGACTTCATATGGAAGTTTTTCAAAATACTTTGGTTTTTTACTGTGAATAAAAGACAGGTTTGTTATTGTAATACAGAAATTCTCATTTATTTTCCAAACAGTACTTTTTACAAAAATATTATTACACTATGATTATTTTTTCTAAATTATGTTACTATCTTGTACAATTATTGACAATAATATATTTACGTGATACAGTACTTACTTTTTAAAAGTTAATGCTTTACTCAGTCTAAATCTCTTTGCCCAATCTGTTAAAAAAACTCCAATTTCTCTTTTATGATATTGACAATGATTGGAATTCAGTGTGTTCCAAAGAATGGCCTTAGTTGAGTGCAGCATTTTCTATTAAAAAAAAAAAACCCTACAATTACAAATTACAGTTACAATTCAAATGACTACCGTCTGTAGCTGAGATTTATTTGTTTAACATTTGAGCATGGGAACAGTGGAGGAGTCTTTGTTGGCAGTGAAAGTGCCAGTGGGGGAGGTGGTTTGTGGCGAGTGAGGGGATGGGGGCATGTGCTCCCCCCCCCAATCATGCGATGAGGTTGTTAGAGTAAAAATTAAACATTTTTATTTTGATTGCCAATTCCATTGTGGTCTAAAATCACAATTTGGATCATACTAAGCCATAAACACCTGTGAACACTAGGCCTACCAGAATTTTATTCTGGGGCCCTGACCGAGGCTCTAGGCCTAGGCCTAGTCGGCCCCAGACTTCAAACCCCCATAATAGTAAAACGTGCAATATCAGATCGACAAACTCAATAAAGTATTTGATAGTGAGGAAGATTATAGATATTTTATTGGGAAGATCAGGATTAGAAGGCTTCAAAAAAACGTAAACCTCTCTCTACTCCTAGCCTAGCTAGGCCCCTACGCCTAGCCTACGTACGCAGCTGGGCTAAAAAAGACATAGGCCTAGGCTAGGTAGGAGCCTACCTATGCTTTTTAGGCCTAGTCAGCGGGGGATAATACCCCTGTCGATCTAGGCTATGCTTTTTCTAGCCGTTTGATCTGGCGTACGCCTAGACTAGTTATCTTGATTATTGTGAAATCCCTAATTCCTAATCATAATAATGTGAGACATTTACAACACTGGCCTAGATTTACCATTTCTATCCCCGGCATGAACCTAAACCAAAACTACTACCATCAAGTTCGCTCGCAGCTAGCTCATAGCCAAGACATTCCGCAATAGCGCCCTCTATGAAAAAAACTTGGCCGTATTCGACTGGTCATTCTTCGTTAAACCACGCCCACACGCGCAGCGGTGAAATTGATATAATTATAATCCTGTTTAACGAACGACCAGCCAGTCATAATTAATTTCATGAGTTCACTTTATTTGTCCTATCGGAAATTTGGTTTAACGTACAATTGCTCAAATTTTAGTAGAAAAAGGGAAACGTACACAAATTATAAAGCATAAAAAGAATCTTAATCTACATAAGGCCTGAATTTAGTTCAATAAAAATAGTCTGACGGAAAAGAACGAATTTGAGAAACCTGTTGTCCTCTGCATCGAGCAGTCCTAAGTCGTCTACCAGATCTTAACCATTGGTAATTTCTTTGAAGCGGATGGTCTTTCTCTTGCATTATGGTTACTCGTAGACTTTCCCATTGCATATGTCATCAATTTAAATATTCTGCTTTATCAACCTGCAAGCCTTATTTCCTAAACATTTTACGTTTTTAAGATCGGATTTCGGAAGCTATTAAACCAAATGATACATCCATATACAAAAACACTTTCCATTATTGATTTTTTAGAACAGTCGTCGAATTGTGAGATCAACATAAAATGATTTAGTTACCTTAAAAAGTAGAGTCTAGAATTTCCCTTTGACATGATTAATTTACATTGTTCTCTCCAATTAAGCTTATTGCCAATTATCATACCTAGTAATTATACTTTATCGACACAATATCAATACTAATCGAATAGAAAACTGGTAAATACTTGACAAAACAAAATGGCTGCATAGTTACCGCGATACTGCTTAGAGTTTCTTCGGCTTGTGGCAGTATATGTTTTACGTTAAAAATGTTTTCATCCAGTCTATTTTACGAATCAGTCGAATGAATATAATACTCAACAAAAAATCGTAGTCAATGAAAAAAATTCGAAAAAAAAAATCAAAATACATATTAATATTATATTCAGGCGCGGATCCAGACCTTCGAACCGTTACAAGTAACAGGTCAGGGTGAGAGATAAAAATGAAAGTGATTGCAACTTCATGAATGACGATGTTAGGGACTATAATCAATCAGTAGCATTCTATGCTCATGAGCAGCGCCGGGCGGTTTGGCAGCACTGAAATTGGCCTGAATAGGTGATTTAATATTACTTTATACAAATTAGTAGAATAATCATATATATCATCTTTTTCTAAACGTGTACCTTTTTGTAAATAGCAGTGTTCTTACGAAGCTGGATATGCCGGTGTCACATTGATACGATGGCTGTCTCTTATACACATCTAGATGTGTATAAGTCATCCCGGTGATACTTACCGGCACGGTGTTTGCAGGATTTAACATAAAGTATTTAAACAAATAATACATCAGATTTTAGTCGTTTACATCAGAAAGCAGCTGTAGTTCTATAAGTCATAGTTTTAAACATTGGTTTTAACAAAACATGACTCATTATATTGTATTGAATTGAATTATCTTTTAGAATTTATATCGATATTGAAAAATAGCCCTATGCCTAATTATATAGATATGCTGATATTGAACTGAAAATATCTATTATTGAGAAAAAAAGCTCTAGACGGCTTATAAACTATAAAATATATACTATTGCTACATTTTAAAACATTTCAGGGATTCAGTCGTGAGACAACAGCTGCAGTATTAAAAAATATCCATTCTAATCCATACACCTTGCCCATCGTTATTTTAGAGTCCAGTTAAAAGTTTTCAAATTAGTTTCTTCACTGCATTTGTATTTTCTATCCACGATGCTATAAGTCAAGCAGATGTTTGAATGGACACAATTCGTTAATAAAGCAGACATATTCTGTTTTGATTAAATTTGTTCAGAATTGCCATAATTATTATTTAAACTTATTTATTGAAAAAAGCGTTTTATTAAAAATTAAATAAATTAAATATATATATATTAGAGTAATAAAAGTGAATTAATAGTTATGTACAAATTGCTACTGCATCCCATCATTCTGTAAAGCGCTGTCAGAATAATTGTTTATTGGCGCTATATAAAAATAAATTATTTCGAAGAAATAAATTAAAATTATTCTATTAAAAATTATTTTTTAATACCTGATATACCGTAAAACCACGAATTGAAGCCTTGGACTTTTTTTTTTTTTTTTTTTTTTTTTTTATTTAAAACTTTGGATAGGCTTCTTTTCGATGCTACTTTTGCAAAGTAAAGAGGGGTGCTTTTTCAAAATTAATTCTGTAAATTTTGTGAATTGCTACTATGAAACAATACATAAGGCCGCTGTAACATCAATCTGTATCAAGTGTAATCTTTATCTGTATAAACCAGGCGTGTTTTAAATTTATTTAATTCGTTGCTTTGAAATCATTTACAGTGTATATACTGTATTATCTTTAAAAAAATGCCCAACTGTATCTAGAAGTCTTGAAATGGAGGTGCTGATGGCGGGGCGCAAGGTGAAGTGGGGGATGCCAATTCGCAAAATAAGGTTTTATGTGATTTTTAACTACTTGGGTGGGGGGGGGGTCTAGATGTGGCACACTCCACTGTTCAAGGTTATCTTTGCAAACTAAAGAGAGGGCTTCAATTCGAGATGGGCTTCTTGAGATTAAGACTATTGTGCTTTTATTCGCGGTTTTACGGTATAGGCTTGAAAATATTTACGGCGCTTATTTGAGGGCGGCGCTTATTCGTGCATTCACGGTAATATACCTACTATGATGGGTAATCATTTATTTAACTTTCAGTTGTTTTAGGGCGGGGTGGATTCTAGGCTGGGTGGTGGGGACGCAGTCGCCCGGGGCCCCTAGAGGTGGGGCCCTGCGGATCGACGCACTAGAGTGCATTGGCATTACGCCACTGCACCATTGTAAGATGGTGAGATGAAGCTTTCCCCTTGATACCCCACCTGCGCGATAGTCAGGATGAATTCTGGATCCGCGTCTGTCAACATAACAATAAAATATAAAAACAATAATAACAGATTTTGTAATAACGAAAATAAGAGACAGTGATATACAGCCTACACCTTGAAGAATGTAACATTTTTATACGCACTGGGATTGTCAGAGACTCGAACTAAACAAAAACGTCCCATTCGGTCACAACTAACCTTGTTTGTGTAAGCGAGCAAGCATTATGCTGATTAACGAAAGTTTTTTTTTTGACAGTGAGTTTTTATTTTCGATTTAAGGATAACATATCCTATTCATTTCACAACCAAATGAACACAATTCCATTATGAAATCATAGTTTCTATTCTTTCACTAAAAATAATTTTTCCTTTTGTGTAAAACATTTAATTAATATTATACAAACTAATGAAAAATGATTGACTTGATGAACTATGTGCACTCTAGTTACATTCCGTTACAAGCCGGTCTTGGCCTCTCAGTTGCCTTATTTTTTTCTATATTATTCCTTAGCCGCGCACACACTGCGATGGTGGACGACGAACAATGCCGTAGCCAGTAGTTGGGACAGTCCTACACAGTTTTTCTAATGGGTCCACAAATTTAAAAATGTGTCCAAATTATGCAATTTTATGCTTAAAATGGGTCCACTTTTTGAAAAATGGATCCAGATTTATCATATTTAGCCTAAAGTGGGTAAAATTAAGAAAATGGGTCCAGATTTTTTATATTTTTTGCATAAGATGGGTCCACATAGTTTGAATTTACGCGTAAAGTGGATCCACCATGATATTGTTATTGATATTGTTTTGCGTTTCAAGTCAAGATATTTTTTTTTAGTTCTTGTGTTTTCCTATTCGGGCACGTATAGTATATAGGCCTATATATACTGTATTAAGTGTTAACTTACGAACCAGACCCTAAACATATTTGTTATTAGGCCTATTGATATTATTGTTGCTATTATTATTGTTGTTATTATTATTATTATTATTATTATTATTATTATTATTATTATTATTGTTGTTGTTGTTGTTGTTGTTGTTGTTGTTGTTGTTGTTGTTGTGGTTGCTGCTGCTGCTGTTGTTGTTATTATTATTATTTGTAATATTGTTATTTGTATTATTATTATTATCAATTAATATTAGTAGGCCTATTATTTATTAATATTATTATTTTAATTATTATTATTAATATCACTATTGTTTTGTTATTAGGGCTGTTATTGTCACTGGTTATTATTACTCTTTGGTACTATTTGGTATTTTATTATCATCATCGGCATCACAATTGCCATCATTATCATAACATTGACATCACGTTTTCTGTCAGCAAGCGCGTTATTTACTATATTAGGAAACGTTGTACGCAGCTTTAGCCTAATACGGAAATACAGATTTACTTCTCCCATTTTCACACAGACAGGTGCGAGCGTGGTTGGAAAGGAAGTAACTTAAGAGAAAATAAAGCGATAGATAATTCGATACATAATGAACGGTTCTCACTAATCCGAAGATATCCTTTAAAGAAAAATAAATCCGAACTTGAACTTGAAAAAAAGATCATTAAAATACGTATAGTGTTTGCATAACACTTTCTTATACCTGTTCTTGAACAATACGTATCGATGACATTGACGTTCTACAATAAGAACAGAATTTCCGATTGGTGGTCCGTCGTACAGATTGTTCGCCAAGATACACCTGTTTCTGTGGTGTTGTTTTGTTAATTTACCAGAGGGTTTACTATTAAGGTCTTATAAGATAAGAATTGACGTCCTCAAACCTTCCAATTATAAATAGACACGACATCGTGTTGTTGTTAAACATGTTGACTCTTTAATCAGTCATTGGCAATCTGTCCTTAATTACATTTTATATACAACAATACTAAAACTGACCAATCAGACTGAAACCAGTGATTTCCAATGTATTATGATCAAAAGTAGGCCATACTTATAGGTCAAGAGAGGAAATTCTTACGAAGCTTTTAAACCACTGTTAAAACAAGTATTTTAGCTGGTCAAGGGGTACAGATAAAAGTCCTTTTCTTAGCAGTGCGTTTAGATTTTGGGAGC